AAACTCACAGAATGGATCACCCAAATGGTCACAGACACAATTTAGTAAAAAACTTTAGACCCTCGTTTTATCAATCAAAAGAGGAGAAGACTTACGCGGATCTTTGTAGGTATATGCTCAATAATTGATTTGTAACGAAACCATCTGTGTGAAGATAAGGCGAAAGCAATTTATTCATATTCTTAATCTATAATTAAAAAAATGTTACCAAACTTAATTAACTTCACAATTTTCACCGTAGGAAAACATTTTTTTGTTAATTAACAATATGTGATTTGTTTCTTAATTAACTTTTTTACCGCATTTAAGCTACTTTTGCGATCAATTAAAAAGTTTTTAATGAAAAAATTCATAACATCGCTAGTTAAATGTAACCTTAAGTGATAAAAAATCATTTCATATCGCAATTCACATACAGACTTAATTATAGTGACCTTGAGAAAAACACCCGATTGCTACAGATATAACCCAATAATTATTTATGGTAAAGTTTACTTATTTTTGTTGTTGTAGCCCGTGCGATTACAAAGATTCCGTACTCAGTTATACACAACTAAATAAAAAAAATTCTCTACTCTCCTGTGGGTAGAGCATTCAATTCGTATTCACGAAGAATAGACTTTTCCGAAATATAACTTTGTGGTAGATTGTCTGGTTAATGACAGGAAACTAGACCCTGTTTACGCTGGAATAATAGTGTAAACCAGAAAGCTCGAAACTTAAGAGCTTAGAACTAGATGACAACTGTCCGTCATCGAGATCGATATTTATTATTCGGGTTCAGGCTCACGTTGTTGCCTTTTATGCGACGCACTTACTGGCAAAATTAAAACATAGCTGGGTTCATTTTTTTTAAACTTAGTAAGATATAGTACAGACAAAATTTGAATATATACTAAACTCTGAATTTATATTAACTGTTTTTAAACAGTTCATATGCTCATGCCTTCTTCTACCATTCTTGCAAATACTTTAACTGAGATATTAAAGGGGCTGTAAACCGAATAAAATAGAAATGAGAGATAGAAAGAGGTAATAGATTAACATAGTTACATGCTTCGAAAAGAAAATAACGATATAGCCAAACTAATACTTATATGAAACTCACGGGGCTTTAACAAACGAGGAAACACTTAAAAGTGCGTTGAAAGAATGGTTCCAATTGAATTTCAATGTTTATGGCCCGGAGTTTATACCACCTGCTGACCACCGAGAGAAATGGTTGAAGCTTGTTTCTCAGCTATGAACTCTATAAGAGCATCAAAGATTTTATTTATTTATGGTCATAATTCGTAATTAATGAATGGTAATTCATTTGCGAGAGTCCTAATATTAAATGTAAAATGTTTAATCCGCACTTGAAAATAATCATATGTAATATAATAATCTATTATAATATAATATTATAATAATAATAATAATAATAATTGTGTAATAATTATATAATATTAATCATATATATATATAATATAATATAGACACAAAGTGTCTATAGCCCATCGAATTTAAGGGATCTAATCTTATCCATGGTAATGGAAGCAAAATTTAGAGGGTACTGCCAATATTTGTTGCCTACCATTAAACTCATACATTCAGCAACTTTTGGCTCACTGCGTAGCTCTACACTCTGCTCAACACAACTTTGACTTCTATATCCACCAGTACACAATCTACGCAGACATAAAGGACAACCTGCTTTTCATTATGTAAATTTTCACTAATATTACCTGAACATTTATAAATAATCACTGAGATAATTATTACAAAAATTTTGAAAGTTCCTTGAATACATTTTTCATGCTAATAAAATGTTCATTTGCACTTAGGAAGTTCGTAGTTTGCTTGAGGTCGTTCACTCGTTCTCTGCTGGCAAGAAACTTAAACTTAACTAACTAAATTTGGAAGAATAAATTTGATGATATGCACCAAAAGTATCTGAAACTGTAACTGTTTTAATGTATGTAGAACTGTTGCAGCACCGAGTAGATAGCAGTGGCAAAGCAGTGGTAGGTACCATGAGGTAACGTGAGGCAATTCACAGCTTTTGGAATCAGCATGTGCATTGTCAGAGCACAGTTACTTAGCTACCTTGTAAATTATTATGAAATTAGGAATATCAGTTTTTCAAGCAATTAGCAGAGTTCACCTTTTGGGTGGCATTGAATAAATTTTATGACTAATTCATATAGCACAACCTAATGCTGCTTCGAACTCAACTTAATCGGTTTTTATGGTTGAACTTCCACTTTTAAATTTGTTTTCTTTCATTGAGCAATAAAAGGAGTTAATAGATTATCTAATTAGTCCGACCGCTGATGCTGATCAGAACCATACCGCTGTGAATACCAAAATTGGTTAGCATCTGTTCTTTTGCTATAGATACGAGTATATTTTGGACTTTAACTACCGAAATTAATGGTTCCAGAATAACTACTTTTACTAATGCAAAGTACTTAAAATCGAACACTAATTGTTGGAGTACTAGAAATGGATGTTAACAGAAAGAGGCGTCAATCGTGCCTTTAATCGTGCTCACGTTTGCAGTTTGCAATATAAAAACATTCCAAATGAGTTTTAGAAAACCACCTGCCATCAGAAAAAAACGGCCTGTAAACTAATCATCTTCAAAGCATTCGATGAAGTACTTTGCAGTGTCATACTGTGGCTAGCAACTGTAGGTGCGATAGCAGTTTAATCACTTTTGATTAACTCTGCTCAAATGTTGGCCAATGACATTTGCCATACCATTGTATCTTCGAAGAATTCCATAAGCAACTCATAATTTTTCAATTTTAATTACTTCAAAAATTGCTTTTTGACTATTTTTAAAGAAAACAATAAATAAACGTAAAGGTTAAAATCTATTCTGTCACTATTTTCGGTTTTCATTAGTAATTTTTATATTCGAAGGGACACAAGTTTTGATTTGTTATGTTACTTTTGTTAATTGTCGTTATTATCTTAATATTAAGTTTTATTTA